AAATAATCGTTTGGCATTTCCTTCCGGGCGTCGTAGATAATATCTATTAGTTGGATTCTGAGTTATGGAGGTTTAAAGTAGGCGACATAAGAAGGTTGAATTTAAGACTACTTCTGCTGATGCAACCTGCAGATGTAACTGTTTATTTTATTGATAAAGAAGACAATTGGAGCCAACTCAGTTTGACTTGAGAAATAGACCACAAATCTAATGGCTCTAAAGATCAGATAATTACTATTGGAGACAATATAGTTCCTAAACTAGCAAAATAGTAATTACTGTGGAGGCTGTTGTGGTTTTCATGGTATATAGGTATTTACACCTTTTAAGCATACATAAGGTTGTGAGTTATATCAATAGAGGTACTTAGTTTGTACGATAGATATGTGTAGTTGTTAGGCGGAGACAACCTGATAGATTTCAAGATTGTCTAGGCCAATCAAGATTCGCTTTTGTAGACGGAGATTGTCTAGGAAGGCTTGGACTTGGCTCACTTCGTTTATGACTACTAGGAGCGAAGTAAAGTAGGTAAAGTAGGGTAGAATCATAAAAACAATATTATATTGTTAAGGTCTCTTCTCCGTTGCTTGATGATGTCTAAAGCTTGGGAGGTACTTCGATATTTATATTCCACATCTGAGTGTTTGCGGACTACATCTATTTATCATACAACTATGTACTTCTTTAATCATAATTTACAACGTCGAGTTCTCTTCCAAGGTGCAAACACCTGTGGACCCTGAAAACCATCACACCCTCTTCGGTAATTATGATATTTCTTCTTAGGAAACGTACTGTCTCCAATAGTAATATCCCAATTAGTAGAGTCTTTGGACTGGTAGCCTAGTTCTTAAGTCGAACTGAGTTGGCTCCAATTGTCTTCACCATTGATAAAATGATCAGTTTTATCCACGGCTACATCCGCAAAGGTGGTCATCATTACACCTATCATAGGTTGTCTGACTCCGATCCTTTGTAACTCCATACCCAATGTATAGATTTTCTCTGGATGACTTCCTATCAACTCGCAGGAAGCTATTCCACCAGATTGGTAATTAATCCCTCGGTCGGCAACCCTTGGTTGCTCTCTGGGTAATAGGTTTCAGTAACTATTATAGTATTAAGGATCACCCCACGATTACGACGTGTTTCGAAACCCAGTTGTAACACTCTGTGAAGTTCATTGGCTTCTTTAGTAGTGTCTTTTTGGAGTTCTAGACTTTTCTGATGGATGTAAATATATTGGTCTCTAGTAGAGATCCTTTACCATCTCTTTGTGCGAAATCGTCCCATTACTTACGGCCCATGCAAAAGGTATCATATCTTTGGAGCCAGGTAACTCTCTGAGTGGTTGATGGAATTACTCCGTTCTACTTTCCTGACCTAGCCGAAGGTCTCCTCTCATATAACCTGCTAACAGGATCGGGTTGGACAGACGGCGGCGACGTAAATGGTATTATTCTAACACCTTCAATTCTGTGGTAATATAGTCACAGGACGCAACTGAGATTGATACATATGATGACGCGTGGGCCCCGTAAGGGAGCCGGAGGGGGGTGTTGGAGACCAGAGATTCCGATTCCAAGTGGGGTTACCCTACTTAGGATGGTTCCTAGGTATTGGGTTCTGGTATTTCTAACAGCAACCCTTGGTTGCTCTCTGAGTAGTAGGTTTAAGTAACCATTGTAGTATTGAGAATCACCCCCATGGCTACAACATGTTCCGAAACCCTGTTGCAACACTCCGTGAAGTTCGTTGGCTGCTTTGGTAGTGTCTTTTGGAGTTCTAAACTCTTCTGGTAGATGTAAATGTATTGGTCTCTAGTAGAGATCCTTTACCATTTGATACCATCTCTTTGTATGAAAACGTCCTGTCACTTACAGCCCATGCCAAAGGTGTCATGTCTTTGAAGTCAGATAACCCTCTGAGTAGTTGATGGAATTACTCCATTCCACTTCGCAGGCCTAGCCGAAGATCCCCTCCCATATACTCTATGCACAGGATCTGATCGAACAGACGGCGATAACGTATATGGTGTTATTCTAATACCTTCGATTCTGTGGTAATATAGTCACAGGACGCGACTGAGATTGATATATATAATGATGCGCGGGCTCCATAAGGGAGTCGGAGGGGGGTGTTGGAGACCAGAGATTCCGATTCTGAGTGGAGTTACCCTACTTAGGGTAGTTCCTAGGTATCAGGTTCTGGTATTCGTAACAATGAGATAAGTTCTGAACAACGACCATCCAGTCCGAGTTCTAACCGACCTCAAGAATCTAATCCCGTTCCTGACCACGAAGAAATTAAATGACTGCCAGATAAGGTAGATGGAACACCACAGCAAATACAACTTCAAAATTGAATACCGATCAGGTAAGGAGAATGGAAAGCCAAACACTCTCACAAGGATTACAAGCAACAAACTACAAACAAAAGAAGACGAGAGGATCAAACAAAAAACATGAACACTATTACCAAAAACCTACTTCGAGGCAATGGAGGTTCTCCAATTTACATTAACGGAAGAAAAGGAAATCGAGAAGCCAAACGAAGGAGACAAAACAATTCAGGCAATAAGAGAAGTATTGAAGGAAGAAAAAAAAGAAATGTACGGAATCGCTCTAGGTTTATGCCAATGGGAGGATGGAAACATGTAGTACGATGGAAAACAATAGATTCTGGAAGAAGAAAAGATAAGAACAGACATTATATGACAACATCACAATATCTGAATAGCAGGATATGGAGGAACAGTGAAAACTACAAAATTCATCACGAGGTTATTCTATTGGCCGGGACTGTGCGAAGATATCAAAAGATATGTCAAAAATTGCGACATATACCAAAGGACGAAAACAGCTAAACACGTACTATACAGATTACTGAAATCAAACGATGTTCCTGAACGACCATGGGAAACAATTACCATGGATTTCATCAAGGACCTACCATTATCAGAGAAATGCAATAGCATCCTGGTTGTGGTGGATCGTCTGACCAAAATGAGTTATTTCATTTCAGTCAGAAAAGATATGAATACAAGGCATGTTATACAAATATTCTTCCAAGAAGTCTTCCGACTTCATGGCCTCCCAAAGGATGTCATTACCGACTGAGGAACATTATTCACATCAGGACTATGGAAAAAAGTAACCGGAGAAATGGAGATACAAAACTGGCTGAGCACAGTATTCCATCCACAAATGGACGGACAAACAGAGCAGGTAAATGCAATACTCAAACAATATTTACGGGCCTATGTCAATTACCAACAAGATGATTGGTACAAACTGCTATCAATAGCGGAATTCGCATACAACACTGGAAAACAAGAAACAATTGGCACAACACCCTTCTTTGTGAATTACAGACCACATCGACAAAGTCAGACCACATATCATACAATTAACGGTATAATATCGGATAAAACAAATATGTGAAAACTACATGAGACGTTATAATATGAAATGAGTCAAGCACAATAACAGCAAAAAGAACAATACAATAAACACCGAAGACCAGATCCAAACATAAAATCAGGAGATATGGTATAGCTAATACCACGCAATATCTATACGACATGACCATCAAAGAAATTGGACTATAAGACAATTGGGCCATTCAAGATACTGGAAAGAGTAGGCAGCTGAGCTTATAAACACAACCTTCCCCACTCAATGAAAATACACAACACATTCCACATCTCACTCCTCGAATTACACAATGACAATAAGTTTTCCTCACAAACAATTATTCCTCCTCCTCTGATTGAACTTAACAGAGAACCAAAATACGAACTTGACGAGATAGTCGATTCTCGCTTCTTCTACGGAAATTAACAATACCAAGCCATGTGGACTAGTTACTCATCAGAATATGATAAAACTTGGTATTCCGCACATAACTTCGAACACATACAAGATGCTATTTCAACCTTCCACCAGCAATACTCAGGCAAGCCCGGCCTAGGTGATGATCACATTCAACTAAGACAAAGGCGAGGGAAAGGATCCCGTGCTATTATAACCACACGAGGGCTGGGGTGATAGCCCCCACCAAACCACACCAACCAGCCCCGAATACACATTCATGAGGCCAACCGATGAAGAACTCAGAGAAAGGAAAAGACAAGCACAGCATAATGTAATATCATGGACGGTATACTACGATGATGGATGTCTCACCTACTATAGAGTCAAGGAAGGCTCGGGGTGGTTCTCGAGAGAATACAAAAAGTATGGTCTATGCCCGGACTATGCCTAAAGCACTAGAAACAGTGCCTTAACAATACGTGCAAAATGTAAAGGATGAAGAAAATCACCACGGGATACTACCGGCAGAAGGATGGAACTAAGAAAGAGTTGAAAGGAAAGGATACTACGATATGGCAGAGGGCTAGGGCCTCGAGGATGAGGCCTAGAAAGGGGGGAGCATAAAATTCATCTTTGGAAACGGAACCTGATACCAGAAGCCTACATAGGCAAATCCGAGGACCCTAAGAACAACTAGACCAAGCCGAGGCCACAATTTCAGCAAACGATAAAACGATCACGGAGTTGAGGGAGCTGAACGATATCCAGTGGTGCACAATTGAGATGGCAGACCTCACCTT